GACAAAGGGTTTTTCATAAACGCGAGGAACCGTTCCGCGACAACGTATATAAATACACGCGAAGATAGAAAGGACAAGACAGAGAGTCAGTGACGAGCGCGCCTTTAATACGCATCGGCGAATTTACTGTATAACAAAGGTGGGTCGATTATAACCGAATCAGTGAAATATCCTGACCCAATTTCCATTAAATACACATAAGTTCGGACACTCCCGGCCTACACTTGTATTATTATTAATATATAAACATTTCCTGTATCAATTAATTGATGCTTAATTATATCACGCTTTGTACTTCCGTATCATATCAATTTATTGCGATTCTCGTTCTATATTCTTTGTAGAGAAATAATCTGAAAGAGAGAACTTTTAACAAGTCCTTTTGATCGTTAATCCAATTTGAAATGGGGATCTCATTGGAAACCAGTCGTGAGATTCAACGAATAATTAATTCCAAAAGAGTGGAATATCTCTGGTAATAAATTCTGAAACAATTGTCCAAGGAATTGGATTATGGGACAAAATTCTCACCGGGAGGACAAGAATTCGAAATTTCTCTTTGATCCAAGTTTTCACCCGCTAATTTTCGTAATTATCCCACGGGACGAACGTCGGGAAGGCGTCGAGTGGATAATTTACCTTCGGGTTGTTTGTTTTTTCAATGTCGGGCAGGAAGTTTGCCGGACGGCCGGCACGGCCGAGCTCGAGAGATCCACTCGAAATTAATTGCTCAAGGTAGTGCTTAAAGTCTTAAACGGCACTGGCCGTGGAACACACTTTGTTAATACACCGTTAATCTAGCCGCGCGAGAATTCTAAATAAAATTCACGCCTCCGGAAATCGATTTTACAATTGAATCCTACGACCTGCTAATTTTCCAATAAAACTGTTTTCCATAGTCGTCAAAAATCTGTTTTCTTTTTTAACCAGTTTAAACGAGCATTGATTCATACGGTAGTTATGCAAATTGATCCGACAATACCGTTTGTAAGCAGAAATAATGAACACGTGAAAAATTGTATCATTCCTGTTTGCAGCAGATTGAAAATTGAAAAAGCATGTTGGCAACTTTCGTTTTGCTTTGAAAATAAAAATCGTGGTGCTCGTTCGCTTTTGCTTCCGAAGTTGAACCGTGAGTGAAACTTTGAACGCGGTGTACTCCTCAAAGTTAAATACACTTGAGGCCCAGCGTGTGCGCGCATATATCCTCGAAAACTGGTAGGTTTGAGCACTCTTGGTGCTCAGTCAGCGTCAACGGCACTCGTCAGAAATTCATTACGTCGATTTAGCATTAGGACTCCATTGTGCTCGCACCGACGCGACAGCAAGGAACTGCGGTTGAAATACGCTTCAATCTTGTAACACGATGAACAGCTCGTCCAAGAATTACCCTAACACCTCACCCGATCTCGAGGTAATCCAGCTTGTCGGCTAATTAACGGGTTTATTAAACAGCCGCTTGAACAATTTTGCCAATATCAAAGAACAATAGTGCTCCAAAGGCAATAAAAAATGTCGATGGAAAATTGTAGGATGAAAATTGTAATTATTTCCTCAACGAGAGGGACTCGAGTACATGGTTTCTTTCAAATCATTTAAGAGCAGGTCGATCCTAGGATGAGATATGTTTGAAGTGAGC